CTGTTAAATGATTCTAATGGCGCACAATAATAATAAGGTTTTATAAAAAAAAAAATGTAAAAAGATATTCTTTCGACCATTTGGTATCTTTTACAGCGTAAGAGAAAAAAAAAAGAAAAAGAAAAGAACGAAAATATCCCCCACTCACTCATCAAATCATTATGTCTCAGAGAAACTCTTTTATCCGATCGCTATTTTAGGAAGAAAGATGAATTAATAGCGTCCATTAGAAGTCATCGAAATTACGTGGGAACTATTTTCTTTTCTTACGTCAGGAAGAAAATCGCGGAATGATTATGTTTCTCTGATTCGGCTCCCCACACACTTCTTGCACTCATTCCAGTCTTTTCAATAGCTACTACCCTCTCGCATGCTTTTGTATTACTCCGTCTCTCGTTCACTACTTACATCCCGACACACATTGATATATATTATATATTCGCATTCGAGATAAGAAAAAAAGTTTGAATACCTATAGAATAAAAGGAAAAGTTTGAAGAACAGTAAACATTATCTGTGACTTCTCCTATAACTTCTTACTCAATATATTTGTCCATTTGTAAATAAATTACATATTTATAAATGTACATAATACTACAACCAAGTATAAGCGTGTCTGTATATATATATATATATATATATATATATATATATATATATATATATATATATATATATATATATATATATATATATATATATATGTATATAAATACATAATTCAAACATTATTATAGTGAATACTTATATTTGAAATAGATGCCCAATTTTTTTTAATTGGAAACCTGTGTATTTACATAAAGGGTCTGTCTCCCTGTTTATTTGTAATATATATATATATATATATATATATATATATATATATATATATATATATATATATATATTTCAATCTATCTATTCATACCATTCATCCTATATATATATATATATATATATATATATATATATATATATATATATATATATATATATATATATATATATAGACGTTTTATTCGTGCAAAAATAGTCGCTTAATAAACATATTTTGAGAAATAAAACAGACGAATTACGACTACTTTATATAAAACTGTTTTAATTTTTCTTGATGTATTTATTTTAGCTTTTCTGTCCTAACATACGGAAATTAATCCGTCAGTCAGCAAAAATATTTTTAAATATAATAAGCACAATTTGTCAATTTGGTTAAAAAAAATCGGAGTCACAAAACACACGCTAATGTGGGTGGGTGTGTTTGTTAGTATGTTCTGATATGTCTGTCTCTATATATTCAATCAAATCTATCTTTATATGAAATTCAGGTCTCTCAAAGTTATCATTCCTATTCATTTCCTATCTATCTATCTATCTATCTATCTATCTAGGATCAAGCGATATATTTATCTGTCTAGCGAGCGATCTTTCTATCTAGTGACCTCTCTCTCTCTCTCTCTCGGACTGTTAATTATCTATCTAGTGAGCGACGAGCGCCCGCGATCTATCTATCTATCTATCTATCTATCTATCTATCTATCTATCTATCTATCTATCTACCCTAACCTACATCTTCGATTCTACAAAGTTGATTATTTTAACCCAAGACTGTTTTCCTTGCCAGCACGAACTTCTGATAGATAGATAGGCAGATAGATAGATATGAGAAGAACTAGGGCTTCGTATATCTGCACTCCGGCGTCATTTTGTTTACGTGTTGCTCTCTTGTCAATAATAATAATAATAATAATAATGCTGATATTAATTTTCTTGGTTAACTTTGGTATTTCAAATATTTTTAAGATATTATTTAACTTTTTGAAAACACGCCATCAATATTTTATTTCTTTTAGCATTTCAAAACTGTGATTCAGGGATATCTTAACATTTTTAACATTGTGTGTGTGTGTGTGTGTGTGTGTGTGTGTGTGTGTGTGTGTGTGTGTGTGTGTGTGTGTGTGTGTGTGTGTGATGCATTTCGTCCTTTAGGGCTTACTTGGACTTAAATTCGTCACAAAAAATGTACACTTTATCCTTAATTTTCCTAATATTGTTCTGATATATAAAATGTTTATATCATATTCTGCCAGATCGTAACATTGAAAATCTTTTATTTGGTTGAAGTATCATGTTTTATTTCGCATTCGTAATTCTTAAACTTATACTGTTGTCAGTTATTACATTTCAAGTTATTTGTTTAAGTTTCAAGTTAGAATTTCAGGTTAAATTTCGTATAACAAACAAACAAATAATAATAATAATAATAATAACAGCGAGAAATTCTCGAAATACAAGGAGCTGGAGATCGAGTCTAACATGATACGGGGAATGGAGACAGAAACTGTACCAATAGTAATTGGAACTCTGGGTCTCGTGAGAAAAGGAATGGGCAGTTTTACTAAAAGTCTCCCAGGTAATATCAACATAAAATTTGCCCAGAAGGTCGCCCTAATCGGAACATCCTATACACTAAGAAAAGTGCTATCAATTAAATGACAATTCTCCTATAGGGTCTAGGGACCATAGTTTGGACCCGTCTCTACAGGATACAGAGGAGGTAACATGACACACACAAATAATAATAATAATAATAATAATAATAATAATGTAAGTTCGGTGACCGATACAATGAAATTATTGATAACCTTATCTCAGTTATGAAAGGGTAGGTCAATATCTGTATTGGAAGACCTGCCATTACTATAGAAAAAAAAAACAGCTGCACACTAGCAGAAAGATCATCCTGAATCTATAGTTGAGGGAGAAGAAGTTCTCATCCTCTGGGAATTTTCTATCATCGCAGATTGAAGAATATGAACAAAGACATTATTATCAAAGACGGAAAAGAAAAGCTTTCTCACTGATTGGCAAAAATAACATGTAGCAAAAACATCTTTGCGAAGAATCTAACAACAAAAAAAAAAAAACAACGCAAATACAAAGATGGAAATAAAAAAAAATATAACACTTAAAAAACAAAAATTGTTCCTGGTTTGGTTGGGGTTTTAGTTCTGATTAAAAAAAAGGAACTCAACAATAGCTGAATAAAATCCACTGGGCCCCATATCTCCAACAAATAAAACAAAAATGCTCTAACAAGCACAGCCTATATCCTGGAAGAGTTTTGATCATTTAAGAAATCGCATACTTCGCTTGTACTAAGTCATTGGTTATGAGCGGGTATGCGATGATATAACAAAGGAAGAACAAAAATATTTTGTTTAAATAATAATAATAATAATAATAATAATGATAGACCAGATACAGAAGCGATGGCAAGATAAACTGCTTCATGGCCAATACTCTGCCCGTACCAAACAAGCTGACGTAGACAAAAGCCGTACCCATCGGTGGCTACGTAGTGCATGGTGGAAAGCTGAAACTGAAGGTTTTATCCTTGCTGCGCAGGACCAATGCTTGCTAACTAGGAATTATCAAGCACATATACTAAAATATTGTGTCAGCCCAAAATGCAGATTCTGTGATAAATATCTAGAAACGATTGATCATCTTATATCAGGTTGCACGATATTGGCACCCACTGAATATAAAACACGGCATGACAGATTGGGCCAATACCTGCACTGGAAAATCTGCAACTTCTACGGGAAGGAAACTGAAAGAAACTGGTATGAACACCACCCAGACTCGGTTACGGAGATAGGACCTGTTACAATTCTATGGGACTACACAATATACACTGACAGAACAATCAAAGCCAACCGTCTAGATATTGTTATGAAAGACCACAAACAAAAAACTGCCTCCTTATTGATATGGCAGTCCTTGCTGACTGCAATGTATCTTTGAAGATATTTAAAAAGCTGTCAAAATACAAGGAACTTGAAATAGAAATCTCAAAAATGTGGCACATGGGAACATCAACAATCCCTGTTGTAGTTGGAGCCCTAGGACTGGTTGGAAAAGATTGCAGTAGACTAATTGAAGGGATTCCTGGAAGTCCATGCCTCAAGGAACTACAAAAAATTGTTCTGACAAGTACAGCCCACACTTAACGAAGGGCTTTATCTGTGTATTTTTTTTTTTTTTTTTTTTTTTGTCAGTGGAAAGTGTCATGATGCCAGTTCTAACCTTAGGTCCCTGGGCGGGACCCGGAAAGAAAAAAAAATAATAATAATAACAACAGTAACCGCAGCAATGGGAAAGCATGTTATTTGAGATTTTACAAAAGCAGATGAATTACCGTATTTGATCTAGGAATCCAAACTTTCACTGCTGTCGATATAAAAGAAAAAACTCTGTCAAACAGTAAAAGTGTTCGCTTCTACCTGAAGGTAAAAGAAAATGAGAGAATACCTAGCGAATATTGTTAACTTTAATTGCTGTGTGCAAGTCGAGTTTTCAAGTCTAAAACAACGTTTCCAAAACTAGTGGTAGACTTATATAGCAGGAATAAAATGAAAACATTACCACCTAGTTGTAATCTAGAGGAACAACACCACTAACAATTATCGTACACCTTTTTACCTCCAGCAGGCTGCCAGAAATATATCCCACTAAATCTTGTTTTTGGCGAATATATTTGGCCTATTAACATAGAAAGTAATATAAAATAATAAAATAGTATCACAAATTCAGTGTTCTGTTAATACTACAGCAGAAATCACGTCTAACAACTGATACACTTAGAATAAACATTGATCGAAATGTAAGTGTGTGGTTCGACCTATACAATAGGTATAGACCTAACTCATAATTTTGAGCCAAAAATATTGAGGTCGACTTGTACTCCACAATTTCCGATACATTGATTGATTAATTCGTTTTCTATCAACCCTTTGTTAATTATTTAAAGCCAGAAAATAGATTTAGTTTGTTAGAATTTCCTTAGAGTTAACAATAACTTAAATAAATCTTACTAATTAACCAATAGTGGGGGAGTGAAGAGACGGATTCATACCTTTCCCAAAGGGTTTTGCGCGTAAGTGAATATGGAATAGGAACTCGGTTTTACGATTAAGAATTCCAATCAATTATCCATTACACCAGCTGCACATCCATGTTTACAGCACCTGCTATCTCCAAGCGGTCACCCATCTTGGTACTGACCAGGCTCAATGTTGCTTTACTTCGGTGATTGTACGGGAATTCATTTTTCAAGGCTATATGGCCGTAGGTGAATAAGTTAGGGAATCATACAAGAAATGTGCTAAATAAGATAAATAACACACAATTGTGAAGTTTTATGAGAAACAACAGCTAAAATGGATATCACATGTTACTCCAGGAGAAAATAATGCCATAATCAAGATGTCTATGTTCGACACTACTATAAAGAAAAAATGTGGAAGAAAGGACGCATGACTAATGGAAAACGTAATAACAGTTACTGAACTTAGAAACATATTTTCCTGAAAGAAATTGATTTAAAATATATTTATAAATTTCAACCGAAACTAAATGAATACCAAATGTTACAAAGAAACGACTGATATTACTATTATTATTATTATTAGAGATCAGAAGAACAGAGACTATACTGTGTAGGTTATCCTTACCTGGCTTATGTCAGAGTGTATCCCCCAGGCGAGGCTATGGCCGAAGGGCAGAGTCTCGTTTCGGAAAACTGACACTGTTTTTACGTGATCTATAGGGAATTTGGGCCAAGCCTACGGGCTCGGATACCACATTTTAAACTCAGCCTTGTGCCACATCTTGCTGCGTGAGGCAGCGGGTAAATAATTACACTTTGTATTTATCCTCATCCTCAAGTTGATGTGATATGGCATATGACCTGTCAGAGCATTGGTTCGTGCATATAGACTAAGTCCTAAAATTGACCGGTGCTCGAAACAAAGCTAGTAATGGAGTCGATAATCCTGAAAACTCACTGTCTGTTACAATGAGGGAGATGATGCTACAAGGTTGCAATTCCCAGAATCAGTCGTCCTTCGTTTATTTGTTATGTTCTGCCAGGAGACAGGATGACAAAGGAGAGATAAAAATATAGTTTATCTGCCCGAATGCAAATTGTGTTTACTTGCCTCCCAACGCTGGAAAGATGTGACACAAGGTCAGTTTAATGCAGAAAGCCCGAGCACTTACACCCGGGCCAGGTCTAAGTAACCCTAACCTCCCCTCAACCCATGGGTTCATCTCTGCTCGAAGACAAAGAAACAACTGAGTTACATTCTGTTCCAGGACAGAAATACAATTGAAACATAAAATATAGTTTCTCAGGTATCCAAGTAGATTTTTTCAGTACGCTACCGAATGTGACACAAGGTCAGTTTAAAGTGGGTTTCACGGCAATACTGTGGAAAGTTTGCTCAATCCACCTCGGTATTTCACCTTTTAGGGACACCTCATGCACCGGGTAATGACCCCAGCCTCCTCCCGAAGAAGAGGTACTACCTGTGGAAATGGCTCCCTGCGGCTTCAGCTTAATACTATTTTGAAACTTTCCCGTCGAAAGTTTCAGGGAATTATTATTAAATGATTTTCTAAGCCTATCTCAGATGCGGCAAAAGACGTAACGTATGGAGCATCCAGTCAGGATCAAACTTAATCGTAATGGTGGCATTCTAAGCGTAGCTTAGATGTGGAACGATGCCGAAAGTACGAGGCAATCGGTGAGGCTCGAAGTGCCTAAGTGATTTTCTAAGCGTAGTTTAAACGTGGCACAAGGCTGAAAGTTCAGAGTACCCAATGAGGATCGAATTCACCAGTCGTAGTTGATGTAGCGAGAAAAGTTTAATAACCATTACACTGTGTCGAAGTGCCCAAAATATAGTGAATTATTATTAAATGATTTTCTAAGCGTAGCTCAGATGCGGCACAAGACCAGAGGTATGGAGCACCCAGTGTGGACCGAACTCACTACCCGGCTGTTTTCTGATCTAGTGAGACAAGTTTGCTAATCATTATGCCACGTCCAGATGCCCCAACCAGCTGGCTAGCCAGTGAACAAAAGCGCAACACAAGTGTCACTGGCTGGTTGTCAACGAATGCCGAATGTTTCCTTAGAATTCAACGATAAATATTTCCATAGCTATTACGAAAATAGAGTCAAATGATACTTAATGATTATTCAAGAAAATTTGTGTAATATGAATATCAAAGTCGTACTAATTATCACTGTAGCACTGTGTTTCCCACACATTGAAAACTGAAAAAAGAATTGATTTGACGCTGACAACTGTCTGATTATTTTAATTCTCCGAACACTTGATAATTATTCAGTCCCATTATTATTCAGTACATGCCATGCACCTTCAGGACGTGGTCGATCATGGTCCTCCACAAGTTTCTATCCTTTTTTACCTCTCAGTATGTCTTGTATTTTTCGCATTTCTCTAAAACCCTGTTCTGACATCCATTTACAAGTTTCTTAGGTAGATTACTAGCTGTATCCGCTTTCTATCTTGCTTTCAATATATCTTGTGAGTGCCATATTCTCCAGGCCTTCTTTGATCATTATGTGTAATAGAAAATTCAGTTATCTTTTTTCTGATTCTAGATATAAGTATCTGTTTTATTTTCATTGTCTTTAACGCTCCCACACCCAATGTTCAGTGCCCATATTCTCAGCACCGTTCTGTAGAACCACATTTCTGTTGCTTCAGATCTCTTTATGATGAGATTGTCTGGAATTCACTGCCAGGGAGGAGAACCGATATTGCATCACATCTTAGAACTCTTTTCCTTCTTTCTAATCGAATTGCCCGGATGCTTAGCTAGTATGAAGTCAAATAATACGAACAGGATGAATAATAAAAGCGTCCATTTCCATAACTGACTTCTCAATTTGTCAGTCATGAAATAAACCTGATACGTTCCGAATTTTTTGACGCTCGAGGAAAACTCGCAGACATCTTTGCGCGTGCGGGTCTGCGCGTGTTTGTTTACGCATGCGCATTTCATAGCAATCGAAACGAATCACTGAATCGCTAAAAACAAGTATCTTAGCCGCTTGTGAGAATAAATCGATAAGTATAAATGTCATTTTATCTTGTAAATACCGAACACGTGAAGCTTCGGCAAGTTGGCTCGCTGACGCTTCGATTTTAACTAAAGCAGTGTTATGAATATTTCAAATGTAGTCCATACGTGGTGTTTTGCAATTCAATCACTTTTATTAGGATTAGTACACGGTGAAATGGTCGTTTTACAACTGGTATGAGAATAATGGAAATAATGAAATCGTAGTACAATATACAAGGTTTGATTAAAATAGTATCGGGCCTGGTGGTATAAAAAGAAATCTACAACACATACCAATTCGATATTTAATCACCTTCGAAGCACTCCCTTCCTGGAGCCACCCACTTGATCCAGCTTCGCGGGAATTTCACTGTGATGTAATGCTTAGGAAGCTTGTCTTGCTTGTTCCATTACAACTGAAAAGTGATTTCTGTCCTCACTAGGTGCCCCATACTTTTGTTACACATCTAAGCTATGGTTAGAAAAAAAAAACATCACTTTCGCGTTATTTCCGCTGATGGAAACATTTCTGGAACACTTTTTTTGAGATATCGAGCAGCTGCCTCGTCGCTTCTCTTGGATTTTCTCGACAATTTTAAGTGGGACTTGATTTTTCGAAAGAAGAAAATAATGCAAGAGGAGGCGAGATCTGGGGAATATGGTGGTTGTCGAACCTGAGGTATATTGTACTTGGCCAAAATTGTATGCACAGGCTGCGCTGAATGGACAGGCGCTTTGTCCTGGTGCATGCAATACTGTCCTTTTCCGATGAACAGTATTCCGTAAACTCAACATCAAGTTACGGCAGTACGGCTTGTATACAATCTGACCAGGTGGAGCATGATGTATAATGCCCTTGTATTCGAAGAGTGTCTTCCCCTTGCTTCGACTCAATCGTGATTTCTTCAGTCTCGGAGAGGTGGAGCTCTGGCACTTTTTGAAACTGGTTCCGAAGAAATCACGAAACAATGGGAAGACACTCTTCGACTACAAGAGTACTGTTCATCATGAACATGATGACGAATCAAGTGTCTATGGGTATGATCCTGAAATCAAAGTTCAGTTTTCGCTTCTCAATTTTCTTTGTCATGGCCACTGATGGGACCACTTTGGTGTGGTGAGACGACCACACTCTACACACTTTCATCCCAAGCGCTGCTATTAACAACGGAAGTGAATGAGAACATTATAACATAATGTTCATGCGCAGTGCAATGTCAATATGTGCCACGTGGCTTCACTATGCGAAATCCATCTTCATAGCAACAGTTCCAACATATTCTTTGATCAGACCTCGTCTATATATATATATATATATAATATTAGTTCAATATTAGTCGGTTGCAATAGTTAATAATGAAAAGACATTTATTTTATACATTATATATTCGTTTCTCAATATGATTTCCTTTTTTGCCAATGAATTTAATCCAACGCTTCTCTATATATAGATTATTATACAATGGAAATGTCTGATCAAAATTCAGTATATGTATAAGTTATTAACCTGACTTGGTATTGCTACTGTAAGATTTCTCATATTACACTCTAAATTTGATAACAGACTGTCGTTTTGTTCGAAAGGGAGAGAACTATTGTTGGCTTCACCACCTGAATAAATAGTAAAGAAATTAAAATAAATTTTCTATTTAAAAATAGTACCCACATTTCAAATCACGAATAATCGTACAACATAATATGACGAGTTCTTTATTACATATAGAAATAAGACTAACAGTAATGGATATGAATACTTGCTATGTCAACATCACATTTTTCTTATGGTGGATCGTATCATTGTCGGCCCTGTGTAAAGCCGGCTGCGTTACAATAACAACACGGGTTCCATAACAACTTAAATGACGTATCATTTGGGCATTTACATGCTTATTAAGCCTATTTTGAGAAGAAAGTGCGCAGATGTATATGAAATTAGTTCAATATTTAATACTTTATTATGACATTATTATACATTAATGACTATTAATGGGATTTGTGCAGCGGAGAAATAACTTTTACGAAGGTGGTGAAGGCAATCATAGTTGTCTCCCTTTCGAACAACACTACTAAAAAAAAAAGTGATGTTCGAACCTCAAATATGTTCTGTGGTTGAATTGCTTTGAATATAGCTTCATTACGACCCCGTTTGTTTTCTGTGCAACCATAATAAGAATTCTTCATATATCTCCTGA